GGGGGGGGGGGAGGAAAGGAGTCGCCGTTGGGGGCTTGTCCAGCCAGGGGGAGCTCTCAGAAGTCCTGCATCTCAATGGGTCGGGAGCGAAGTTCATCGCGTTCACGCCGCGCGCGCCGCCGGTGAGCCTCGGCCGCATGTGCGCGACTCACTGACTGGTCCTTGCGTCCGTGCACCGACACGTGCTTGACCTTGGAGAAGATGCGCCGCCAGTTGCGGTGCAGCAGCATGTTGAATACATCCAGAGGAATGTACCAGCATAGGGTCCAGATCCCTGGGAGAGAGAGAGAGAGAGGCAAGAGAGGAGGAACAAGAGTGACACGACATGTCGCAGGGTCAGAAGGCCGATGGAAAAGGACACCGAGCACGGCCGGTGGAAAGGCCACGCCCCCCGCCCCCTTCCCCCGTGAAAAGGGCTCCTGCTGGCCAACGCACACACACAGACCGCCCAGCCCCAGCCACAGCCGAGGAAGCTTTCCTTGCCCCAGATGAGATCGCCCGGCGGGCGATTGGTGTTGTAGTCCGGGTAGCCATTGAAGCCGTAGACGCCGATGAAGGTGGCACTCACTTGGGCCACCACCGACGCCAGGAGCATCAAAGGATGCGGCATCGACATGAAGGACAAACTCCGACTCCGAGTGATGAAGAGCAGCAGCTGCCCGGAGAGGGACACATGCAGGTAGACGATGGCCCGGAGCCGGGCCTGCCCCTCGTAGGTGGTCAAAGGCACGGGCACCAGGCCGATGCTGGTGAACATGTTGTGCTGGGTCGAGGCCCACCGGAAGAGAACCAGCGTCGAGGCGGTCAGGTAAAGACCGTACAGGAAGGCCAGCGGGAAAAGCCGCGTCAGGCGCCAGGAGTCCGGGGTTTTCGACGGCCGAACCAGGTCCTTGGCAATCGTGAGCATGGTCCCGTCATTGAGGATGGCCATGATGACCACCAGGATGGTGGGGAAGTACCAGTCGAAGATGGTGGCCAGCAGGCCGAAGGTGAAGGTAATCCGCACGGTGGTGGCCACGGCGTATGTGGCGTAGCTCTTCATGCGCTGGAAGATCTTCCGCGCCCCGATGATGGCGTCGATGATGACACCGAGCCCGGGCGACAGGAGGACAATGTCCGAAGCGGCACGCGCGGCATCGGTCGACCCGGCCACCGCAATGCCGATGTCCGCCTGCTTGAGGGCCGGCGCGTCATTCACACCGTCACCGGTCATGCCCACCACATGGCCCAACCGCTGCAGACGCTTGACAATGGCATGCTTGTGCTGGGGATACACCTCGGCAAAGCCGTCGGACTTTTCCACCAGCTGGTCGATGGTGATCTCCTCGGCACCCTGGGCGGCCCGATCGACGGTCGCCCCGGAGGAAGTATAATCCGGCCCCATGGTGGCGGTGGTGGTCGTTTGGCCGGGGACCGGCTGCATGCTGCTGGCCAGGTAGGCCGCGGCCAAGTGACCGCCGACCAGACTTTGTCGGCCGCCGGGGGTCGGCCGGGCGGCTGCCGCCCGGCCGGCCGACGCCGCAGGGCCACTGAGCAGTTGCCCGGAGCTTGTGGCCGTAGCCGGGGCGCCGGTGCCGCCACCGGCACCGGCACCGGCACCGGCACCGGCCGGAGACCCGGGCTCTGTCCCGGCCGCCAATGGCGACGACGGGGCAGCTGTCCCGGCGGCGGAAGAGGCCCCCCCAGTGTCCCCGACCCCGGGGCCTGGCACGGGCCCGGCCGAGAAGGTGGCCAATTCAATGGCCCCGGGCGGCTGGCCGGACCTCGAAGGGGCCGGCAGAATGGCATCGGCACTGCCGACCGACCCGCTGGAAGAGAGCCCGGCGCTGGTGCTGCTGGTGGCACCCAGGTCGCCGGAGGACCGGGCGTCTCCCGGCTCGGCCCCAGCGGCAAGGGCCTGAAGGTGGCTCGGATCTTGCACCAGCGTGTCCGTGGAGTTGGGCACGGCCTTGCCGGTGGTGCCGGCGGCGGCGGCGGCGGCCGCCGCCGCCGGCACCGGGTCGCCGAGCTTGTCGACGGTTTTGTCGCCGGCCACGGCCGCCGGGGCGGCCTCCGGCGCCGGCGGCGGAGCCGTCCCCTGCTCGTCAATGGCGCTGATGGCTCCCTGGCGGAGGAGCTCCATGGTGCTCGGCGAGCCGTCCAAAAAGCGAGCCGTGTGCACATCGGTGCTGAGCCCCATCTGACGACAGGACTCCCGAGCGATGGCCAACTGGTCGCCGGTGATCATCTTCACGGCGATGCCCATGTCAATGGCCGCGGCCACCACCTGCGCCGTGTCGTGCCGGGGTGGGTCATACAGCGGGATCATGCCCACGAAGTTCCACGACGCCTGCTCCAGCGGCCCGGCCCCCGTGGACCGGGCCACAGCCACCGACCGATAGCCACGCGAGGCAAACTCATTGACCTTGGCCATGACCTTGGGCCGGATGAGATCCGCATCGTGGGCCATGTCCAGGATGATCTGCGGGGCGCCCTTGGCCGTGCGAAAGACCGCCCCCTTGGCGGTGGCCGCCGCCGGGTCCTCCGCCCCGGCAGGCCCACAGTCCACCAACGTGACAATGGTCCGCTTGCCGACCGGATCGAAGGGAACATAGTGCGTGGCCCGGAAGCGTGCCATGCTAGACAGCTGGTCCTGCGTCAGGGCATTGACAATGGTCGTGTCGATGGGGTCCGCGTCCTCGGTCCGTGCGCAGAGAGCCCCATCGAAGAGGACATCCTCCGGGGTGGCCCCCTCGTGCGCGTAGATCTCCGCATTGTTGATGCTCAGCTCGTTGAGGGTCAGCGTGCCCGTCTTGTCCGAGCACAGGACATCCATGGCGGCCAGCTCCTCGACGGCTGTCAAGCGCGACACAATCGCCTGCTTTTGCGAGAGCTTGGACGCGCCAATCGCCATGGTCACCGACAGGACGGTGGGCATGGCAATCGGAATGCCACCCACTGTGGAGGCCGAGGGCGGGGGAGGAAGCCCGAAGATGGCACGAGGGGAGGGGGGTAGGGGATAGGGATGGGGGGGGGGGGGGGGCGGGACGGGGAGGATGGGCGAGCAAGTGTCGAAGGTGAGGATGATGGCTGGCTGGTCGGCACAGGTGACTGGAAGGGGGGCGGTGTGTGCGTACCGATGAGAATGAGGATGTTGTTGAGAGTGGGGCACCGATTCTGGCCCATGCGGCAGCGGTTCGGCCCGTAAAGCTGGACATGGAGAGGGGAAGAGGGGCAAAACAAAAATACGCAGTAAGCACCAAGGCTATCACCAAGAGAGAGAGAGAGAGAGAGAGAGGGAGGGAGGGGGAAAAGGCACGGGTGAGACGACACTTTGCTGCCATGCATATCCATGGATATGCTCGCATCGGCACGCACATTCGTTAGACCGGGGAATTGTGTGCCCAGCGGCGAGCGGCTGGTCCAGCTTCCGCGGGCAATCAGCTGCACCAGCAGGACGATGGTCACCCACATGAGGATGACCACGAGACAGACATTCCCGATGATGGTCATGGTCTGCCAGCCGGGGGGGGGGGGCGAAGAAAAAAAAGAAGAAAGCACCCAGGCAAGGGCGAGACCCAGCCCATGGGAGAGGTGTGGACAATGTTTCGCGAGTCAGGTAAGATGTCAGGAGGAACCCGGCCCCGCGCCTCCCCCTCCGCTGGTAATGGGCAATGGAGGGCTCTCATGCGTCGTACATGCTGGAGATTGGACTCTGTGGAGGCGGTGCTGATCAATGCCGCGGCACGACCAAGGAAGGTGTGCGAACCGGTGGCATACACGACGGCCTCGATCTCTCCCTGTCGGACGATGGACCCGGAGAAGGCAGTGTCGCCGGTCTTCTTGGTCACTGGCAGCGACTCGCCAGTCAGCGAAGACTGATCGACCTTGATTTCGTCGCCATTGAGAAGCTGGCCCAGGCGTGGGAATCAGCAGCATGGTGATTAGGACAGGCTGCGCGGAGAATGGGAAATAGTCGAGGGGCATCGGTTTGAGGGGAGCAGTCAAGGGAGGATGAGGAGGAAGAGGGGGTGGGGGGGGGGGGGGGGGGGGGGGGGGTGGCCAGGGTCGTACCTTCACGTCTGCCGGCAGGACATCACCGGCCTTGACGCGGATCACATCGCCAGGGACAATTTGGTTGGCCGGCGTGGGCCGGGATTCGCGATTGCGCAGGACTCTCGCCTCCGGGGCCAGCTGGGCCTTGAGCGCGGCAATCGCATTGCCAGCCGACCGCTCCTCCAAGAAGCCGATGGTGGAGTTGATGAACAGCAGGGCGATAATCAGCTGGCAGGGGTTGGTGGGCGAGGCCCGGCAAATGTCAGCATCGCGGGCCGGCCTGGGGACGTGGGAGGGGCAGGGCCAGGGGAGGACGGCAGGGGCCGGTACAAGAGGAAGCGGGGGAAGACACGCACGCCGAAGTCCACATAGTCCAGGAGGATGATGGCCAGGATGGCCGCACATTCCATGGCCCATGAGAGGGGGTTCCACATGAACCTGCGCCGAGGGTGATCGGGGATGGCGAGGGAGATGGCACGAGAGGGCGGCGCGTCAGAGGCAATGGCCGAACTGGGGCGTGGCACAGAGCACACCTCGGGCACAAGGCCAGGTGCACATACCCCAGAAAGACCAGGATAGGGGACTTGGTCTTCTCGGTGATCTGGTTCGGGCCGACGATGGCCAACCGCCGGGCGGCTTCATCGTCCGACAGTCCAAGCGGGTTGGTTTTGAGCTGGTGCATCACCTCATCGAGGGAGAGTTTGTCAACGTGGGCGTCCTCCGCCGACAGGGCGCTGGGTATGGGGTGCGCGGGGGGGGGGGAAGGGGGGGGGGGGGGGGGGGGGGGGGGGGGGGGGGGGGGGGGGGGGGGGGGGGGGGGGGGGGGGGGGGAGGGGGGGGGGGGGGGGGGGGGGCAGTGGGAGGGGGGGGGGGGGGGGGGGGGGGGGGGGGGGAGGGAGGCTTGCTCGACGCACAGGAGGTTGTCATTTTGGGCGGCGGTCATCTTGCCATACAAGGGCCATGATGTGCTGCCTGGCAGAGATGCACCGGGGGAGGGTGACCGTTGAAAGGAGGGGAGAGGGGGAAGAGCAGGAAGGCTGGAGGGGGCGCGCGCCGGGAGTATCCGGCGCCCGGCGAGGGGAAGTCACGCAAGACCACCTAGATGGGGGGGGGGGCGGCGGGAGCGAGGGGCAAGGAGCGAGGAAGGCCCGAGGAAGCCCGAGTGGCGAGGAGAAGAGGGGGTGCAGGAGAGGGGCGCCGGGGTGAGAATGATGAGCAGTGCCCTGGACTGGGACAGCCTCCCGCTGGGATGGTCCTGGAAGAGTCCCATCTTTGGCGCCAGCCGAGTGGACCCGCAGGGAGAAAGGCCGGCCAAGATGCCGGTCGGGGGAAGGGCCGCGCCGACGATCTAGCTGGGACCAGCTCCGGGGTCTCGACGATGACGCCGGACAACGCCGGAGGTTTGCCGGTGTTTCGGCCCGATGGACGAGCGGCCTCTCCATCGGCCAGGCTGGCTGCCTCCCCGCGCGCGCGGCTCCCCGTCCCGGGGAGCGATCGATTTCCGAGCCGAGGCAGCCCCCCCTCCCCCGCGCCCCCGCGCCCAGCCGTGGCTCCGCCCCCCCCCTCCCCCCCGGTGAAGATTGGCGCCCAAACAGCCGTGTGCCCTGCTGAGGGGCCTGCAGGCGGCCACACAGGAGGGCGAGAGGGGGGGGGGGGGACGGGGAACTTGGGGCCCCTTCGCCTCGCCCCCCCTCCACCCCCCTGGAAATCGGATGTGCTCCGCCGGCCGGGCCCCCTAGGGAGCCCATGGCGCAGCGGCGGGGAAAATCGCGCAAACAAGGCCGCGGGGCTCCCCACCGGTCCCTGGTGACGAGGAAAAGCGATCCGCCGGCAGAAATGCCCGGTCTTGGCCTCGGGCTCCGGCGGAATGCGATGCTGCACTCGATTATGCTGGGCCGCACCATCTGGCAAGCGCCGATGCTCGCTTTGCCCTCGCCCCAGTCACACACACCCAGGCGTACGCGTCGTGGAAAAAAAAAAAAAAAAGGTGCATGGACAATGTGCCCCTGCGCTTGTCGATGATCCGAGACCCTGGGCGCGCCAAGGCGGCCTCAGGCCGTCCGGATTCCCGGACATCGCCCAGCACCATCCTCGCAGGTGGGGGGATTTGTTTACCAGCACCCGGCCTCGTGGCGGCAGAAAACGCGCGAGCCTCCCCCAAGCCGCGCTCTCCAACCGCCGGGCGAGGGGGCGGGGGGATTTTGAAAGACCCAGTCGCGCATACGCCGCGCGCTCACAGGCGTATGACATCAGAAAGCCCGGCCACACCAGGGGCCGGAACATTTCCCCGGGCGTCTGCGCCGTGTCTGGGGCAGTACCATTCGGGTGCGGGCGGGGATGCCCGGCACAGCCGGCGGCCTCCCGGCCATGCCTCGGGGGCAGGCAGCTTTCCCAGCGCACATTGTCTGGATCCTCTCCACTCCGGGCCGGAGAGTCGTCCACCGGGGGGGGGGGGGGGGAGGGGGGCGGGGGACACGATCGCCAGCCAACACCAAGAACGCGAACTTCATGCAGGGCCCCGCGGCCTGGGCGTCACACCAAGTGCACTCATGGCTCAGGCCCTTACCCTCGCCGGCCCCCGCTCACACCATTACATCACACCCCCCTGAGAACGGACGCTCTTCCATTCGGCGCCCTTTTTTGTTCTGGCACCACATGTGACGATGATAAGATTGACACAAAATCTGCCCACCGCGAAGGAGCTCGGGCTTTTGGCTTTTTTCCCCCCTCCTTCCTTCATTCCCGCGCCAACGGCAGCCTCTCCCCCCGCTTCCTGCTCGGGCCGACTTGTTCCTGCTTCGTCCCCCGCCCCGTGGCCCCGCCTCGCCCGGGGGTTCTCGTGGCCGCCTCCTTCCCAAGTTCATCCCTTGCCCGCCCCCACCCGTTCCGGCCCCCGGGCACCCGCTCCCGGCAGGGCCCCGGCAAGCTCCGCGGGGGCTGCCGCTCCTTGGCCCGTGATACGGCCCCACATGCATAACTCAAGCAGGAGCTTAACCCACGAAGAGAGGACCGGCTGCCGGGCAAATTCCCGAAACAGATTTTGCTCCAGGGAAGAGAGCGCGACACGCGGGGGCGATATGGCGGCGAGTATGGTTACACTTTTTATGTTCATTCCAGATTGCGCGTATTGCATATGTCCTTGGGTCTGACTATTTTATTCCGACGCACGGCCGAAATTGGTACATGGGCCTGTGGAGAGAGAGAGAGAGAGAGAGAGAGAGAGAGGCAGGGGACCATGGCTGCAAGCATATGTGTGCCTGGTCTCCGCTGTGATCCCCGTCCCTGTGTGGCGCTTCCCCAGCCCAGCGTGTATCGGGATCTGTTAAGTGCAAAATCCCCTTGTCTCACCGAGACCCGGGCATACTCTGCACCTGGGATGTCTGCCGAGGCATTGGAGACTCCTGGGGAATATCCCACGAACGATGCCCGACACACGCACACATGTGCCAAAAGGCATGCGCCGTGCACAGGAGAGAGCCCCACCGCGGGGAAAACGCGATGGGAAAGGGAGGAAGCAGGGCCAAATGATGTGAAGGTGCGCGTCCCCGAGAGAGGGAGCGGGGGGAGGGGGGGGGGAGAGAGAGAGAGAGAAAGAGGCCGGTGCCGGAGAGCGAGGGGAAGAGCCGGTGGGGGCGCGGGCAAAAAGGAGGATGCCCGCCTCCCGGCACTGCCTCTCAGAGTCTCGGTGTCGAGCGAGCGGTGGCGGGGCGACGAGGAGAGGCGCATGCATTTCGCAGCTCTCAGAAGAAGCCCACCGACAGAAGGGCGTCCAGGAACATGGGGATGAACTTGGCACGCCAGGCGGGATTGGCGGCCAGATCATTGCGGACTTCGATCATCAGCGGCACGACCACCGGCGGCGAGCCCAGGAGATCATGCTCGTCATAGTGGTCGAGCAGGATCTCCCGCACGCGGTCCGACTGCCGGCGGACCAGGAAGGCGAAGGGGTTGTCCAGGCCACTGTAGGGCTCATTCAGCCGGGCATCATAGCCATCCGGCCCGATGGGGCAGAGAATGTCCTCAGGTGCCTGGTAGGTGTCGGCCTCGGGCTTGCCGCCGGTCATGGCGGTGCCACTTGCCTTGTCCTCGGCGGTGGCCGACGACGCGCCGGCCAGCTGGACGTCCTCCTCAGAGGAGGCGGCCGCGGTGGGCATCTCTCGCGAGCTGGCCACCGCCCCGTTGGATGCCGAGGAGGAGGAGGAAACCGGGCAGTCCATGACATTGTTGCCATTGCGCAGGCGGTAGACAATCTGCTCGGCGATGGTTTGGTTGGCCGGGCCGCCACGGCGGAAGTTTTCGTCGCGCTGCAGGCGATCAAACAGGAGCCCCACTTCAACGTCACGCGGCTCGCCATTCTCATACACCTCGGTGAAGGTGTGAACCGAAAGGAGCAGTCGAGGGAGGGCATGCGGCCCGGACTGCGACGGATCGAGCACATAGCTGAGGATGCTGTCGGTGACACCATCGTGGAAGGGATTGTACAGGAGGGCCACGCGCTTGGCCTCCTCCTCGGGGGTCATGTTCTTCATGCCCGAGAGGTGGGCGAAGGCGTGGTGGGGGTCGCGGTGACAGGGCGGCAGGGTGACAGGGTGGGTGCGGTTAGCAAGACAGGCCAGGCTGCTGGGCGGAAGGGCAGGGTCCAGCTGCAAGTCCAAACGCACGGCATTAAGGGCGATCGGCACGCCATCGGCCACCTTGCGGAACATGGTGTCCGAGCCGATCTCGCGGTTGGCATCGCACATGAGTCGCGAAAAGCGCGCAAGCACGGTCTTGGCCTTGAGAGCAGCTTTGTGGGCGATCCGGGCGCCGTTGGCCAGGGCAATGGGTGTCAAAAAGGATGGGCAAAAATGCAAGAAGGAGGAGGAAGAAGAAAGCCCAAATGCGTACCACTCAGCTCGCGGGTCAGCGCCTCGGCACCGATGTCCAGAGCCCAGTGCGTGTTCACGAGCCACTGATCTTCCTCGGGCCAGGTGCCATCTGCCGAGTACGGCGGCGGGGGGATCCGGTTGGAGGCGTGCTCACACACCAGGTGCACGAGCGACGGCCCCGACGGGGTCAGGAGCTCGTAGACCTCCGGATACTTGGACGTCTCGTCGCCAGACTCGGCGGTCCGATTGAGCCCGGCGAAATCGCCATTGGCCAGGGCCGCCTGGTAGCTACTGGTAAGGGCAGTGTCGCGGGGCATGGTGGGAGATGGGTGTGTCGGAGGAGGGAAGCAGGGGGGGGGGGG